TTGACAAACAAAATGTGTCAATTGTGCACCATTTTGGTTTACTTTGTTAAAACTCTCCCAGTCTATCCTTAGTAATTATTTGTGCAGTAAAATGTATTTTACTGCTACAACTGTGGATATGTCATTCTAGTGCACTGTTTCCCGAGTTGTGTTTGTTGGGAGTGATGAACAGAAGGGAAGAATAATAAGACCTGTAATCCTTTCATCTTCACACATCAATCAACTGCTCTCAAACTGTCACACACACACGCAGTTTTAATCATGACATCTTGCAATCAGGCAACCAGCACATGTCAATCACACTGGCTAAGATCTCATCTTCAACGCACAGTTAACATCCTGTTGCCAAAGCTGTGGGTGCTTGGGACTGTGTGTGTGTGTGTGTGTGTGTGTGTGTGTGTGTGTGTGTGTGTGTGTGTGTGTGTGTGTGTGTGTCTGTGTGTCTGTGTGTTTGTGTCTGTGTGTTTGTGTCTGTGTGTTTGTTTGTGTGTGTTTGTGATTTGAAGCGTTTGATCTAATTGACATGAGTTAACTCGCCCTGCTTTTGAAGAGATCAGCTTCAAAGTGTCATTTTCTTTTGCATGGGTCAGCTGAACATTCACGCATGCATTTAAAGCTATTGATTTTTGCCAACAGTAAATTATGTAATGGTACAAAGAGGGATGCAAGGCAGGGGCATTCAACTAGCTAACTGTAACCTAAGCTAACCTGGGGTTGGCTGGGCCGGCTGGCTATGGCTTGGCTGCAGGGCGTCTGTAGTTGGTTGCTTCCTGGTGTTGGCTGAAGGGGTAGTGTCGCACTCCCTCCTGGAAGGTATGTTTGTACATAAGATACATAGTGGTTATACAGTAGAACCAATCAGTCTTTACAAATTGAAACAAATCGGGTTGGGCAGCAAACAGATTAGTGATAGCCTGAATCAAGCCTGATGGACTTCTTGCTCGATTTAAATTACCAAAATAAGTGCCTCTACATTTCTGCCTCATCAGTATTCATAGCATCAAACATGATGCAAATAATTTACCTCTTAAAGCACAATTTGTTTGCCGTGAATAATTGAAACTGAATGTAATATTGGGCCTCACTGATAGGCTGTGCCTGCACAATGCCCTGCACAGCATAAAACAACTCACCTGCAGCTCTCTGCTGTAGCTTTTCAAGATACTTCATGGGTTGAGGCTTTGTAACCTAGTGTTATACAGCACTTGCCAAAACAAATAAATGGGGATTTAATACTATTGAATGTTTGGCAACATATCTAGTGGCCATTTTTCCAGCACCAATCTACTACAAATAATTCCTGCTCATTTGGATTTTGAGGGTTTCATCCACTGTCACTATTTAGACAATGTATTATTTGCAGAGTCTGAAAATAAAACAAATGAATCCTTATGACTTTCAGAAATAATGACTCCATTCACTTATATTATCAGAATAATTGCAACTTGTGCGGTGGCTTTGATTTATGTATGAATACACGTATATGTTCAAGATAACTATTGAAGCCTTGAAGTAATAATCACACAGTTTTTTATGTTTATTTCCCACTTCTTTGCAAAAAAAAATGTTTCCCCCATGAAAGACCTGCCTGGCTCCAGATTGTAAGAGCATTTACCAATATTCAGGATGTGATGTTCTAGTCCTTTATGCCACAATCATTAGCAGTGGTGCAGAATCCCCATTCAGATGTCAAACTATTGATGTACTAACTGACCTAAAGAGAAGTTCAGGCCACGCCGTCATAAATCTACAGGACCATCACACTGGCAGCACTATTCATTAGTCTCCTAATCTAAATGTCTCAGGGTGGAGTGCGAGACTATGTCTATGAGGCTGCCATTAGGATGATCAAGTGGGCACTTTCTATGACAATTGTCCAGATGAATTAGACCCACATCACCTCCAGAGGGATAAACAACATTTTCTGAAATTTCACAACTCTAAAAACAACACTCTCATCTACTTGCCTACCACCTATGCTTGGAACCTATATAGACTACACAATATCAGCCCACATATGGCCTTTTTCACAGAAGACGTTATGACATGAGCGGCTGTGACGCGGAGATAGAGCGGAAGGTTGTTGGTTCGATCCCCAGCTCCTTACGCTGCATGTCGAAGTATCCTTGAGCAAGATACTGAACCATATGCTGTGCATCGGTGTGTGTGTGTGTGTGTGTGTGTGTGTGTGAATGTGAATGAATGAATTAGTTTCTGTTGGGCTTTCCCATGCTGTGTGAATGTGGCATGTAGTGTAAAAAGCGCTTTGAGTGGTCAGAAGACTAGAAAGGCTCTATAAACGTACAGTCCCGTTTACATGTCACAGCAGGAAAAGCACAGGTGTAAATAATAAAATGAATGATGGCTGAATTACATCTAGCTGCTATGGTTCCAAGGTCGTGCTAATGTGCACTGACTCACTGTCACATTGTCATGGCTTATTGGGAACAGAGCCATCGTTAAATGTTATTAGTAACACTTGTGCTTCTCCTACTATGATGAGACAAAACCGTCTGCTGTGAAAAGGATCTAATCTTGAGCTCTAAATGCATAGTTTGTTCCATCAAGATCTTATGAGCCAGTCTCGCTCATGATGATTTTTTTCATCCTACCTACTCATATTAGTGAATATGCCAGTTGCACTAGGACTCACAGTCCTATCAGTTAATGCTATTCGGTTGCCACTTAAGATGAAACAATAATGTGTTTCCTGATTAGTCAGACGTCATTTTTACACTCACATGTTCACTTTGGAAAGGTTTTTGCTCAAACAGGGACTTCCCTCTGCTATCAAATAATAGTGGATGTTGACAGCATTTCTTTTTTGTGTTGTGGAATTTCCCTCTACACAGAAAATCAATATCATGGAGAGTGTGTTGCATTGCAATGTCTGTGTCGCAGGAATCGTGGTGCAGGGATCTGTAAAATGTTATCCAGAGAGGAGCAACCTTTATTATTGTTTTTTTCACTGTAAAATGACATGCTCCATTAACAAGCTGCAGTATTAAATATTGGTTTTCATATTAATAGTTTTCTTCATAGTTGACTTCTGCTACATTTCAATCTGTCACTGTTGCTTTGCTTTGTTACTTTGGGATGACTTTAAAACATACAGTATAGTTGCTGATATTTGTTGGACATAATTTGCTTGGTTTCTCCTTTATATTATCTTATTCAGTGTCTATTTCTCTGCTCACCTTCTTACTGCCTCCTAATTCATTTTCATTAATTTGAGTAAATGTAATGGTGCACTCGCATCATGGAAATGTTCAACATTTTATACATTTAAACAATAACTGGATTGCACACAATACAGTATTTAACCAGACATACAGTCCCCACACACACTTATGCATAATGCACATATTGCTCTGTCTGACTCGATCATTGCATCTCTGCCCGCTTCTCATAAATCACTAATGTGGGTATCAACAGGCAATAGTTTCCAACTGCACCGAATCACATATGTTCCTACACACACTCACACACACACACATGCACACTCACACACACACACACACACACTCGCACACACACACACACACACACACACACACACACACACTCATGCTCTTTTCCCCCGCTAATATGCTTATCTCCCCCTCTCCTCTCCTTTCTCCCCTGCCCTCTGTAAAGGGCACCACACACCGGTGGCATTTCAATGTGTGTCAAAACACTCACACCTATTGTTTTCTATATAAGCCCATATATCAGGTATCACGTAAACCTCCAATGATGTATCTTGTCAGGATATCCTGCAGCATTACTTCCCACCCGAAAATAAGCAGTCCCTTGACTACTTCCTCCGTTAGTTCACTGTGAGCTACGACCATCAAATGATGCAACTGCACACAAGTGTCCCTGAGTGTTCTGCTATGATGGGTTCTCCAGACAACTAATCTTTTTCACAATTTTTCTGATGTTTTATAGACCAAACAACAAATTGAGTAATTGAGAAAATAATTGGCAGATTAATCGATAATGAAAATAATTGTTAGTTGCAGCCTTAAAATCAATTAATGCCAAAGCAGGTAGTCAATTAATTGCTATTGATCCACAGAAAAGTAACAGTCAATAAAATCAGTCAAAATAACAAGTCAAAAACATTTACCTTTTTAATTCATTTCATGTGAGGGTTTGTTGCTTAACTGTTGGTTGAACATACAAGCAATTGGAAGATGTCACCTTGGGCTCTGTGAACATGCATTTTTCACTATTTCTTGAGACATTATAGATTAAACAATGAATCAACAAATAATTGGCGTAAATAAGTTACACTAATGATAATTTAATTTCAATCAGTCTGAGAGTGTGAGACTATTGCATGTAAAATAGCACCACATAAACTGGTTTTGAACAGTATGCTTTCATTTTTTAGTGAGTTACATGACCAAAATGTTCTCTGTATTGAAAAACCAAATTCAAAGTTTAAAAACAAAAGCTACAAATGAAATCATCAAATTTTCAGATTTGTTTTTCTATTTCAACTGAATTTTGAGGTGCAATCACTAAATGTTATCATTTATTAGAATGATTTGATTTGACAGCTGGAATTGCCCATACAGACTGCTGCTGTGAATGTTCAATCTGTGAATGTGGCAGCTGTAGGGTTTCAGCATCTGCTAGAAAATGTATATATGCAGAGTACAGTGAAGTGCTTGCACATGTATGTGCTTCTCATGTTTATGGACAAAAACAGATACAACAAAAGCCATCCTTTGTGACTGTGATTTTATGGTCCATTAGAGGCCTCTTGAACCATGGTCCTGTATGGAAAAAGTACTGAACCATTATACTAACCGTTATATACCTGTTCTCTGTCTTTATGTGTCACACTAGATCTACTGGATCTGTGACATTATACACTACATTTAAGCCATAGTTGACTTATTCATGACTCTTGAAGAAAACAGCAGCCCACAATGCCATAGTTGCAGTATGTATGTACATTTATGAAACTGCATAATCCCTCTGTCTCCTTCTGTCTCTTGTTCTCTCAGGACGGGAAATTCACCAGAGCTGAAATCATGCCAGGAGATCCGCCACCAGCCAAGATTGTGGGACAGTCTTCCTTTGTCGACTTTGGTGAGAATGACAGAGATTTGTCATTTGCTGTCATTTTTGACGAGCCTTGTGTATTTGTGTGTGATTGTGACAGGGTAACAGTGGGAACCCTTTCAATCCTTGCATTGACATCTACTGTGGGGATTTAGATTGTAATTGGACACAAGAAAAACACTCAAAACACTACTCAAAACACAAGAAGTGTGTAAACGCACTCAAGATGCTCCGAAAACCTCTGAATGTTGTCTGAATTGTACTGGGCCAGAGTATACTGAAAAGTGTCTTGCCCCTAATATCCATATATGTACGTGTGTGGCAGATCCATTCCTCTGCTAAGTCCTTTAAGCTCCCTCTGCATTTGAAGCTGTGTAGCTTCAAAGACTTCCAAATAGGACTGTCTGGTTTTTTTGGCTTTGGCATTTTCACTACAGCTCTCTCATCCCGTAACTTTCTTTCCCTATACACACACACGCCAGAAATGCTCACCCCTTACCAGACAGGCTAATCTCACGCGTGCACACACAGTTGTAGACACACACACTTCCACACAACACACTGTGATACACACACTCTATCCTACATCGATCCAGATTTTTCTCAACAGCTTATCCCCTTAAACAATCTTGGCCAGTAGTATTCATTGTTCAGCTCAGCTTTACATTTATCCGCAGCAAATCTCTGCTGGCTCTCTAATCTCCAGGCTGCAGCCTGTGCACCACAAAGTGGCCCCTGGTCGCTCTTGTCAGAGCTACCACCTCAGCCAAGCAAGTGGCAGAGTTGTGGTGGCTCTTGTTTCCGAAGGTAAAGACCAGTTAGACTAACAGTACAACAATTAAGTAAAATGAGAAATATCTAGATGGAAACATTCATGTGACATGCTACAACACAGTATATAAGTTTATATTACAGAAGTGACACAACAATCTATCCAATGTTTGCTACAGGGTCCAAAATTAACACCCGCCAAGGGGCAAATGCGGGTGAAATTAAAAAGCAAATTGGGGTTACCAGCCAGTAAATAAATAATGATCACTGCGTAGGGCCAGGTTTACATTGCTGTGTTTTTTATGTGTACCGGCTAAGAGTAAGGTGACCCTCACTGTACACGCACACAATCTAGCACACAACAAAACACACTTACCTGCAGAGGCAAACTTAAGTTGTCGACAAACAATCTTATTATTTAGTTATTCCAACAACCTCCAACTTGCTGGCATACGTTTGTATCTGACCACCTCCCTACAGACCAGGCAGGGAAACCCCATACAATGGCATCTAAGGGGTTTCCATCAAAGAAAAAAAGCTTACCATAGTTGCAACTCAAAAATCCTTGTTAAACTGCTTTAAAAGTACCTATTAGGGCAATGATGACGCAAAGTTTGCTGGACAGATAAGCTTTTGTTAATTGCAAATGACAAAGCTTCATTTCTGAGTGAGTTTAATTTGAAAATTTTATTGAGATCTTTTACAGTATTATCTAATCTTTAAGATTTCACTTTCTCCAGTTTTATGTGCAAAGTAATGATCTCTGGTGTTTTAGTGTTGTACTTTTTGGAGTTCACTTATACATTCAGCATCATATGATATTTTTTCTTGCAGCCATGGTCCTTTTAGAGAGGAGAGTTAGATTGTCTAAAAAAATCTGCTAATTTTCAAACTGTGTTCTTAGTAATTCAGGAGAAGCAATCACAGGACTGCATAATATCTGGAAGGGAAACACTGCAGTGTGTCTACTTATGTGATTAAGCACATTTCTTCTGCTGTATTGATTCTGGACAATCAAACCCAAATGGAAAATGCATCATTTCCTCTGAATCAAAGAATTTTTTCAGACAAGGCCAGACAATGAATACTAAATCAATCACCAATACAGAACTACATATATTTATCTGTATGAAAATGCTATTAGTTTAATTATGTAAAAAAATATATGATAAAATCAGGTTTTTCTGGTTTGTAGTTATTTTGATTTTTCTTATAACATAAAGACCCATCTTTTGTTCATTTTTCCTGTGTGACCTTATCACTCAGTTTGAGCTATGCGCTGTCGTTAGCTACGTAATGTTCAATGAATTTTTAATTAACTCTTGGGCTCGTGTGGCACATGAGCACATAGACACACACAAGTGTGCACACTGAGCTTCATACTGATAAACACATCCTTATTGTCATGATTAATCTGTTAATCTCATTGCAGCTAGGGGTGTCCATCAAATATTTAGTGAACAAACTTCCCCTTCCCAAATTGGCAATAATGTATGAGCCAGAGGGGAAATGACCTATATGGTGTGTGTGTGTGTGTGTGTGTGTGTGTGTGTGTGTGTGTGTGTGTGTGTGTGTGTGTGTGTGTGTGTGTGTGTGTGTGTGTGTGTGTGTGTCTGTGTCTGTGTCTGTGTCTGTCTGTGTCTGTGTGTGTGTGTGTGTGTCTGTGTGTGTGTCTGTGTCTCCGTGTCTGTGTCTGTGTGTGTGTCATAAGAGATTCTGTCTCACAGCGTGTGTTTGTGTATGTATTTGCTGGTGAGTGTGTATGTAATTCATCATCTCTGGGGGCAGCAACCTTTTTTTGTTTAAATCTTGAGCTTATCTCGACAAAAACTTTTTCATTTCTTTAATCTTTTTCTCTCTCTTTTTTTTTTTCATTCCTCCTACGGCTCAGAAATGTCACTTCAAGATGTTGCCCTCGTTAGCTGGGGATTGAAGCCTTTGAGGGTCACGCTTCTCATAATCTGCCAAATTCCGGGAGAGAGATGCCTTGCAGGATGTAACGTCTCTTTTTTTTTAGGTCCCGTTTTGTCTGCTTTACTCAGCCCCTCCTCGGCTGTCGCTGTCTATCTTTATTTCTCTTGATCTACTGTATATCTGCTATCTATGGCTTACTCGCTTTTCACACTCCTTTTCCTTCTCCTCCCTCTATTCTTCATCCAAACAGCTTTTGGTGTCATTGTTATTACATTGTTGGAGGACGACTCTGTTGTGGCCCACTATCACCACCTCTTCTTAACATTCTGAGCTTCACTATTCACTTAGAGATAAGACATTCTAAATTGGCAATGATTAGTGTTTTACAATATATAGAACAATAATATCCAACACTATTTAAAGAAATTATAATATGGTGTGATAAGCAATAGTTGATTAGGTGATTATAGCTGAAGCCAGATTACATCAGACACACTGTATCCAATAATGTTAGACCTTAATCCGAAACACATTCATCCCTCTAACCATATCTTTCTCTTTCTGTATCTCTAACTCTATCTTGTCGAGCAGAGTCAAAAAGAGATACTCCTTGCCAACAAGAGCTAATGTTTGTTATAAAATCAATGGGGCTGAATAGGAGACTCAGTATGAGTAGGAGGAGATTGAGTGAATGCAGAAGTGATGCAATGGTCCCCTTCCCTTAGCGCTTACTACTGTGTGTGTGCAAGTTTCCAAGGTCCTCTACATATCAAAAACACAGAATTACCAGTCTGTTCACGTTAACTGAGCAACAAGGGATTTAAAATAGCATTAATCAAGTTAGTTGTTGTCCCATTGAAAGTTAGTTTCTTAATTATACTGTTGAATGGTGGACAGATGTGACAGTGATTTTTATTAAAATAATCCAGAGTGGATTAGTGTTACATATAACGTATGCCAACGACAAGCAATAAAATTGAAAACGATCTGTGATTCAAGGAATGTTTTGATAGTATTATCCATGAAAGAGATGCTAACAATTGATCACAGCATTCAAATGTTAGCCGCTCCTCCACTTTGCTCCTGAAATAACTAGGTAGACGCGATGAAATTTCCTGTGGACATTCATGTGCCCCAGAAGATCAATCCTCTTGACTTTGGTGATCTCCTGATCTTTCCTGCGGCACCACAATGAAGTTGACATTTTTGTTTTTTAGTGAAATATTGGATTAGTTAATTGGATTAACTATTAGATGGATTGCAGGTGTTGCTGCTGTTATGTCTTTCCCGTTTTCCTGTTTCTATCTTTTTTTATTTATTCATCTACCTACAGTAGCTACTTAAATTGTCCTACTGCATCAACAGTTTTTTTTAAAAAATGAGCAATCAGTGTTTGTCTCTGCGTGTGTGGCCCTCTTGTAAGCCCATCTGAACGGTTTCTCTCCAGGCTAATCAAAGAGCACATCTTGGCTTTACCGCAAAACCTTGAATGAATGACCGCAGGGAGGCCGAATGAAAGAGAGGAGAGAGAGTGGGGGGTGGTGGGGTGGCACACTTCAAAGATGACACGAAGTAAGGGGAAGATAGAAAAGAGGATAAAAATATAAAGATATGCCTGGATGATCTAGAGAGGGGGGATGAGGAGATGGCAGGGAGGGTAATGAAGGAATGAAGGGAAAGAGGAGGAGAGGATGAGAGAGCAGAGAGCAGCATTGCATCCCTGTGTGATCTGGAGTGGGAATTATTTCCATCACACCTCGCACTCTCAATTCTCACTCTATCCCTCTGCCTCTACCTTTCACTGTCTGTCTCCCAGTACATTTTTCTCTACAGTTTCCCCATACCTGTCTGTATTGTTCTCTGTCTCTCGAAAGCCATTTTTGAAAATGTATAATTATATATGACGACAGCAGCAACAGTAATTATAAAAGACATGATAAAAAAAGAAACTGACACGCTGGCTTCTGAGTGTACGCAGTAAAAAGTCAGCTTTCATGCCTCATATTTTCCCAGGCTTTTGGATACAGTGCTGGCAGGCTGCAGCACTGCCTGCTCTCTCCAGGCAAAATGTAGGGTTTGGCTTTATCCAGGACCTCATCTGGGAAAGCTCATTTAGTAAGCTGCAGCAGCTTCAGATTTACAAAGGTGTTTATCCATATAGCTCTCATATGTTTTTAGGTAATACATTAATATATATGTTTTTAATTGTAATTGAATTGAACCCTTTTTCAGAATCCTTTTGTCAGTACAGTAAGTTCACATCATCATACAGCACTGACCTTCCCACAGGACACACACGCCCAACATGATAAATGGTCTAAACAGAAAAAATTCATTTGGAT